AAAATAATTGAAATAGAAACTAATAGAATCAAAAATAACGTAAGAGACATGTACAAAGGTATAAACAGATCAGGTAAATGTGTAGGGTCCGTAACGTCTGGAATTAGGGATGATAATAACAATATCCGATTGATATTCTGAATAAATTTAAGGACCACTTTGACAATATATTAAATACGGGAAATTATGATCCGTGTCCTCCTGAGTACCAGAGTGCTGAACCATTGATAGAAGGACCGAGTAAAGCGGAAGTTGAATTAGCTATCGGAAAATTAAAATCTTATAAAGCAGCGGGAACCGATAATATTCCTACTGAACTAATTAAGGCATGCGGGGAAGCTGGAGTTTCTAAAATACATCGGTTGGTTAAAAAGATCTGGGTGAATGAGAAATTACCTGAAGAATGGAAAGAATCTATTCTTATTCCGATTCACAAAAGGCCCGAGGACGGATTATAATAACTATCGAGGAATTTCACTCCTTCCGGTATGTTATAAAATATTTACTTTAATCTTAACCAGTCGAATCACGGAAAACGCCGAGGAAATTATCGGAGACTACCAATGCGGTTTTAGACGGAATCGTTCGACTATTGATCAAATATTTTCTTTACGGCAAATATTAGAGAAAAAATTGGAGTACAACGGTATTGTTCACCAGCTGTATATAGATTTTAAAAAGGCTTACGATTCTATTGACCGCCAGAAACTGTATAATATTCTAATCGAGCAGGGGATTCCAAAAAAACTAGTAAATCTAGTTGGGGTGTGCTTGACGGAGACACTCAATAAAGTTAGAATCGGTAATAATCTGTCCGAAAAATTTGAGGTTCGGTCGATTTTAAAACAAGGGGATTCCCTTTCGCCTGTCCTGTTCAATTTGGCATTAGAACATGCCATTAGGGAAGTAATGCGTACCGAGAAAGGGTTGGATCTGGGAGGGACAACATCCGTGCTGGGCTATGCTGATGATCTGGTACTGTTAAGCGAAGACGTTGAAACTATAAAACTAAATACGACAACGTTAATGAAAGCCGGTAAAGAACTAGGACTCGAAATAAACTTGGATAAAACAAAATATATGGTTAGCTGAAAATGGCGATATCGATATTGATGGTAATATGTTTGAACAGGTAGAGAAATTTAGATATCTAGGTTCTACGATAACTAGAAAAAACGAAATTGAAGAAGAAATTAAGGTTAGTCTGAAGGCGGGAAATGCTTGTTATTTTTCTGTGACAAAACTACTTAGTTCGCGCCTCTTATCCCGGAACTTAAAGATTAGAATCTATAGAAAGATTAAAACAATTATCTTGCCTACAGTTCTTTATGGATGCGAAACTTGGCCGCTTACATTAAGGGATGAGCAGCGTCTTAAGGTTTTTGAAAATAAAGTATTGCGTAGAATTTTCGGACCGAAGAAGGATGAGTTAACCGGAGAGTTCAGACGGTTACACAACGCCGAATTGCGTGAACTGTATCCGGGTAATATAATTGAGGTAATTTCATCGCGGCGAATCAAATGGGCTTGTAAAGTTGTTGGACTTAATAACGAGAGAATTCCTAAAAGGTTAATATTTGCTCTGCCGAATGGTAAGCGTCCGGGGGGCAGATCGAAGCGAAGGTGGGAAGATTGCATTAAAGCCGATCTGAAGGGACTGGGTCTGGACGGCGAACTATACATACTATATCCTGCGTACTACATCCAAGGGAAAAATATCCATTACTGTTATTTTTTATTGATTCAGAGTCTACCAGTAACAACATTGAAATATTTCAAGTAAAAAGGCTTATATATTCAACAGTGAAATTTGAGGAGCCCAGGCAAAAACCTATGATAGTGCAATGCTCTAAAGCGAAGACATAGGACACACGAAGGCCTACTGCCATCATCATGCCAGTTTCGTCAATTATGCCGGTTCATAAGCTTCTAACACTTGCCAACAACCTCGTGATCAGCATGAGAAATGTTCTCTTTGTGACCAACACCATGAAAGCTACAAAGGATGCACAGTTTGCAAATATAAGGTTAAACTTCGATCACAAAATATTGCCTTAAAAAGCCAAAATCTGATGAAAAGTTTTATTATATTCTTAACATATAAATCAAAATAAATGTTTTAATTCATTTATTAACTCAACCAAAAACTTGTTTACATACTAATTAATAAAAACATATGTTCTTTTTAAAACAATATGATTTAGACAATTAAATTGCAACAGAAAATATGAACTAATTTACATTCCCCTAAAACACCCAAAATATCAAATTTAGAATATGCTACATCTCCCCTTTAAAAAAATAAAATAAATATGTTATCGTCTTGAGTTCATCTGTCTATCACGTAGTTGCTCAGCATGTCTTTTGAGCGTTTTTCCTTCAACGTCGACAAAATAGGTCGATCTACAGGACGAATTTAATGAATGGATAAATGTATCGATCTGAAGGATTTTTTAAGAGACTCCGTATGAGTACCTACTAAAACTTCCATAATAATTTCAAAATTTAACCTGTTCTTAAACTAACATGTATAGAAAAGGGGCCAAAATCGGACATAATATTCAGACAATGACTCATTAGGAAGCTGATAGGCTTTTCTAAATTTATAGGCCACAAAATAATTTTTTTTTATTATTAAAAATTCTGTTCAACGCAGCTAATAGATCCGCGTATGATGTGATTGTGTCCCCACAATTATCGTTAATATAGCTGACCTTATTTCCAGCAATATTGAGCAGCAGAGCTTTTTTTCTGACATCCTCCGTAACACCGCTCATACAACAACAACAACGTATAGCTTGAAATTTTTTACCCACTTCTTCTAATATTTCCTACCGAAGAAGGCTCAGAATGAGGATCAAACGGTAGAGGTAGTTTCGATCGATGTCATTATGACCGAATCACTTAAAGGAACTTGGCACGAACACACAATAACATAATGCTCAATGCATCAGTGTTGCCACAATGCTACAGAATCCACAGAGGGCCAAAATAAATTGCAAAATATCAAACAAGGCGTTAAGACCTGGAAAAGCTCTATCTTCAACAGTAGAAGAGATAAGGTTGTTTTAACAAGACTGAGGATAGGCCACGCAGGACTTACCCACGGATTTCTAATCACAAAAGAAACACCTTCATAATTTGTTATATGCTATGTACAGTTGACCATTATCCACATTTTATAAACTGCCCTCAATATGACAACTATTTTCAGGCTTTAGGAATAGAAAGAATCATACAAAAATACTAGCAGATGATATCACAAACATTGGGAAAATAATTTCTAAAGAAAAACAATATTTTCAATAAAATATAAAACAAAGAAATTAACTCAAACTAAAAAAAAAAGGACACTAATGACCCAAGATTTTTAGTGTCCAAAAACAATGTAATCTAACCTAACTCTTATTTACGTCATAAATTTAATAAGTAGCATTTTGTAAATATTATTAAACATACCAAGTTCTGCGATAAATACTATTACAAAAGTTGAACTATGTATACATCCTTGGATATTATTAAGATAATCCTTGACTCTATCAGATTATTTTATTTACAAGTCAGGATAATAATCCTAATTAGTTTGTATTTTTCTTTCGCTCAGTTAACATGGAGTGGGGCGATAAAGAAAACCGAATAGCTGTGATTGCTTACACAAAGTTGGAAAATGTAGGTCAGAGATTTTCAACACTTTGAAACCTTTGGGTATTAGCCGTATGCTCGTGTACCGCACTTTAAATAGATATAATGAGACCCTATCTGTATGTGACAGAACCTCGACCGCACTGTGAGAACGGCAAATGCAGTGTGAGCAGTGGTTGCTCGAATCAGAAGAAATCCCATTGGAAAACAATAAGTCGTGGCTGGAGAAATGGGAATATCTGTCAGATCAATGTCTCACATAATAAAAAGTGTCCTTAGGATGGGTGCATTTCGAAGAATGACAGGGCAAAGGCTAACCACAATCCAAAAAACAATTGAGTCGGTAGATGCAAAATGCTCCTCGGTCATTACACCAATGGTCTTCATTGAAAGATTTTCTTTAGCAATGATAAAATTTTTACAATTGATGAAAAAATAATGTGTACGTATGATCGTGTGTACGTACACAGCTCTAAAGAAGTCCAGGAAGTCATTGGAAGAGTGGAAAGAGGTCATAAATAACCCTTTCTTGTTGATGGTTTGTTGGGGTTTGCTTTGATGGCACTATAAACCTCCATTTTTGTGAAAAAGGAGTTAAAACAGCCACTAAAAACTATCAGGACGATATTTTGGAACCTGTTGTCAAGCCTCTAAATGATACTCCGTTTGCTGGAAGTCATTGGGTTTTACAGGAGGATTCCGTTCCAGTGGCTGGCGCAGCAGTGGCTACAAAAGAACATCCAGAGTTCTTCTCTGCCTCGGATTGGCACTCAGGAAGTCCTGATCTCAACCCATTAGATTATCGACTTTGGTCTGAACTGGTGAGGATGGCATGCCACAGAGCACACCCTAACTTGGAAAGCCTCAAATAATCTATGGTCCGAGCAGTTGAGCGATTTCCTCAAGAAGTGCCGCGTGCTGCTATTAATGACTAACCACGGAGATTAAATGCCTGTAATAAGACAAAAGGGGGACATTTTTAGTAGTTTATTTTTTGTTTAATCTCAATAGATATACATTTTATTTTCTAAAAAATTTTTTGAAAAAAATTATTTTTCTGTTAAGATCTGTATATATTTCCTTGTAGCAATATTTATGACTGGACTAGGAACACAGTAAACATGTTTTAAAGTTTCTTTTTAGTTGTTTGTTTAATGTGCTAATTTTATTCCTCGTTAAAATTTACTGTAATATGAGGTAAGAAAATGAATAAGATAATCTCGATATAGATAAATATTCAAATAAATAAATACAAATATAATTTGAGTGTTTGCTTTATTATGGTTTATTTTTAACTTTACATGTGGTAATTTTCTGTTGGTCCTCATTGTAAACATGAAGGTAGCGTTCATGAGTTACAAACAGTTGCTCGAGTTTCTATTTTGTAATTATTGGAAGACATTCATTAAAATTACTGATTTTTTATATATTTATGTTTCCTTTTCTTTTGGGTCATCATTATAAAACATATTTCATCATGATTTAGCAAACGTTTTAATTAGCTTATGTCTATAGATGTTTTGTGTTCTAGTAGTCAATGATTTTGTAGTAAGCTGAAAAAAAACAAAACAAATCCATAACTTATGGTAGCCTGGCATTTCGTTTTTTGAGGTTTGTTGTTGTTTTATTTAAGTAAATTAAAGTAAATTTAATACCAATATTTTTTATATTATAAATTAATCCATAGTCATCTCAATTTTAAATTATATCCAATTCATGAGCTGAATGTTAAGAATTGTGCTGATTATTAACTACCTATTATCATTAACATTTAATATCAATCAGTATATGATCAATCAAATATTCTTAGATTTAATTTCAAGGTGTATCTGTACTTCTTGACTATTCTTACATTTGATCTAGTTTTTTTTTATTCTGTATTTCTTTTTGTTTGGATTTTTTTACAATCCAACACCTCTTGAAACCTACCATCATATAAAATCTATGTGATAAGACTTTACCTTAGAGATGTTGAATTACAGTTTTATTTTTATCTGAAATATTGTAAATTGTATTACTTTTACGTTAAACCTTATCATGAATGACTGGATTTTTCTGTAAACATTATTTCTTTTTGAAATACAATCAGATTTTATCTTTAAATTCTATGCATTTCTGTTAATGGTTTTTGGGATCCGTGATTAAAGATTTCTTTTAGAGGATTTTTTTTTTCCACATTTATCTGTTAATGTAATTCTCATAATTTATACTTTACTGTAATATGTTCTAATGTTTATTATCAAAATTCACCCTATAACCAAGAAAATTTTTGGTTGTGGAAAATGATGAAAATAATTTTTCACATCTACACTGGCCAAGAAAAGTATTTTACTCAAAACTCTTTTTGTTTATGTTTTCAACATGAAGCAACTGTAAATAGCAAATTGGGATTTCATTTTGCATTAATTGTACAAAAAAAGTAAAATTTTATAACTGATATTGTATGAAAAATATCAAAATATTCAATTATAAATCACAAAAAAAATATTTGTACATTTAACTAACCCAAAAGAACATATAATAAATATAAGTCTCAATTAATTTTAGTATTTTGTTTGATACCCTTTCGCTTTTATCTCAACATTGAGTCTTCTTTCCATCGATTCCATGAGCCTCTTGGTCTCCTTAGAGTTGGTCTCCAATTTCTTCTCAAACCTTTTTAAGATTGTTTAGTTAGTCATTCCTAGAGGAAGAAGAATATTTTCGGATTTTCAATTCCAGCAGCGCCCATAAATTTTTAATTGGACTAAGATCTGGTGGTTGTGGAGTTGTGAGCGTTTTTCTAACATTACATAGCTGCCGTTATTTGGTTTTATTGGCCATGTGCTTGGGATTGTTGTCCTTCTGAAACATACATGTGTCGTCCATTACTAACATTTGCGCCCTTTAATTTAAATTGCAATAAGTCCACATATTTGTGAGCATTCATAATTCCGTCAATCAAGGCTAGTTCACCAATCCCTTTCGCACTCATACAGCTCCAAACCATGACAGTGCCCCCTCAGTGCTTCACTGTGGATTGTAGATTTTGGGATTAAAATGCATTCCCTTTTTTCCTCCAAACATATTTTTTTTCGTCAGATTCAAATATATTATACTTGCTTTCATCTGAAAAGAACACATTTTCCCAAAACTTGTAGAGCTTACATACATTTTCTCGGGTGAACTCCAGTCTTTTTTTTTCTGTTTTTTTTCGTTTATAAAAAAAAATTTTCTTATCACTCTATCTCTACAGCTAGCTGCTTCATGTAGTCAATTCCTCATTGTTTGAGATGTTAAAGATTTCCCATAAGCTGATGAGATATGTGCCGAAACCTCTCGAGCACTTAATTTGTGATTTTTTGCCACTACGTACAATTTCACAAGATATTCACGCCTTTATATAAAACGCACTATCAACAAGCGTTTGCTTCCTGGGAGGGGTTTATTTTCCACTGATCGGTTTTTAATTTTTTTTTTATGTAATGCACTGCCAAATGAGGTATTCCAAACTTTTTTCCAATATTCCGCTAACTTAAAGCCGGTTGAAAATGTTTTACAATGTCTTCTTTTAGATGAGAACTCAATTCTTTGAACCTATGACCCATTGCCGAAGAAATATTCCCTAATACTGAACTGAACAAGCAATTTCTTGTGCAGTTTTATTGTTTAATTCTTTGGAGTAAAGGATTATAAATAGAACATCAAAAAACGCTGTTTTGATAACAAAAATTATTGTATTATTAATACTTGCTCTAGTGTACGAATACTTTTTTGTGTACAAATTATTGAAATATTGATGTTATAAAAGTTGTATGAGATTTTAAATTTAGATGCTAGATAAAATTAATACAAAGTCAATTAATAAAATTGAGACAATCTCTGGTACAAAAACTTTTCCTAATATTCCAACTCTGTACCTACATAATAATCCCATCAAATTTTATCCCACCATCAAAAACCTTGGAATAATCATTGATCAAAAGCTTTCGTGGAAAAACCATATATCCAATATTTCCCACCGTACTGTTTTCACTCTAAAACGTCTAAATTATTCTGGTCACCTATTTTCTTTTGAAACCCATAGACTCTTATTCACTTCCTTAATTTTTCCCCACTTTGATTATTGCTGTAGGTTATATGGGGCGTCTCTGGGGATCTCGAGGCGAAACTAAAACGTTTGATAATTGCTTTGTACGATTCATCTTTGGGATCCCAGGGGACGCCTCTGCTTCCCGTTTTTATGCAGAGTTGAAGTGACTTTACCTTCCTACCGTCGTAAGTATTTCTTGGCATCCTTCTTGTTTCAAGTCATCCAATCTCACCGCCTTTTATACATCTCCGAGCTCCTTTAATTCAAATCCTCTATTCATTCCCGCAATGCTCGTTCCCAGTCTTCTGATTTATACATAAGGGCCGATCGAACTGCTGCTTTTGGTAGATCATTCATTATCCGATCCTCATCCCTATGGAACTGCATCCCTTCCCACATCCGTCAACCCAATACCCTTCCTACCTTTAAATCCTGCCTGTTCAATCATTTCTTATCCATCCAGTTCCCATAAAATTGTAAATAGATACTACTGTAAATATATATATAAATTATTAGTTCGTTATTCATTATTCATGTTTTTTTATCAATTGCTTATTATTAACTGATCGAAATTAGAAAGTAACATATTTTTTTTTTACTATGACTATTTAATTACTCTGTATTTTTATTTATGTATCTCTGAGGCCCCTTAGCCCATATTTCTGTCTTACTGTATTATTCTAAAGGGACTCGACTCAGAGTAAATAAAGTATTATTATTATTATTTAAAAAAATCCCTATAGTTGGAACTAAGGTAGTCATTTTGAGAAAATGGAAATCTTGTTTTGAAACATAAAATATTCTTTTAATTTTACAAAAAAAAAAATGTAGTAATATACTAAACATAATTTTCACTAAATTATTTATCAGTCGTTAACATTGTTTTCATTTTAATAACTCAATTTTTTGGGTAAAAGCATTTTTCATACTGAAAACATTACACTCATTGTACTTATTAATAGTGGTTGAATGACAAAATTGTCATCTTGTACGTTTTCCACATCAGTAAAAAATCAAGGAAAATCATGGGTTTGGAAAGTAAGTTGGCCTATAGAAACTCATTTATTTTAATAATAAAAACCCAATTTTATCATAACAATCTTACTTTATTTCTCCTTTATATACCAATGTTTCAGCACCTAGGCCATTTTCAAGGGAAAAACCTTTAACAAATAAAAGCAATCATCACAGCCTAATTATATTAATTTATTATTTAACATTAGTTATTTTCATTTTATACCATATGCACTGACAGGCAAACAATTCCACCCACTTGATTTTTCCATGTTTTCATCTAAAAATATTTCTGTAAAGTTGTATTTGTATATAATACATGGTATTTGTAGATAATTCTTAGTATTTATGGAATTTTATTATCTTTTTTACCTTTAATAATCAAAATGTGATTGGGTAAGAAAGATTAGAGAAAAAAAAATTGAAAAACGAACCATTATTATTCTAAAAGAAATTAATTACATCATCGTTTAGTAGAGTGTGTTTCCTCCTCTTGCCTTCACTACTTCTTGAAGACGCCTCGGCATACTTTCCACCAGTCGGGAAATGTCCCTTTGCTGGAGGATAGCCCATTCCTCCTGAAGAGCCCTTTCAAGGTCCTGCAGTGTATCAGGAAGTGTTGCACGCGCTCTTATTCGTCTTCTGAGGTTATCCCATAAATGCTCAATGGGGTTCAAATCTGGAGAACGTGCTGGCCAGGCTAAAACCTCAGTATTGTTTTGTTGTAGGAACGTCTGCACTATGCGGGCGACATGTGGGCGTGCATTATCGTGCATTAGAATAGAACAATCGCCGATTTCGTTGAGGATAGGCAACACATGAGGTTCCAAAATCTCATCTATGTAGCGAATGGCCGTCAAAGACCCTCCACGAACAACAACCAATTCTGTGAAGGCGCTCCATTGAAATCCCAGCCCACACCATTAAGGAACCACGTTGGAAAGGTTGACTCTGGGAAAAATTACAGGCTGCATATATTTCGTTTCTTCTTCTCCACATCATTTCACGCCCGTCTGGAGATCGAAGAGCGAATCTTGACTCATCTGTAAAAAGTACAGCACTCCATTCGTCCATAGTCCAATGGCTGTGTTCTCGAGCAAAAGCCAGCCGTGTTACTCTGTGATTTCTGGTCAACTCTGGTCCTCTTACTGGACCAAAAGCCATTAATCCAAACTCATTTAATCTTCTCCGAGCGGTACGTTCAGAAATTTGCACACCTCAAACTTCTTCGAGCTGATGAATCGCTTGAACAACGGTAAGGTGCCGGTTTCGTAAAATTCTCAAAGTCAAAAACCGGTCATCCTGTGGTTCTGTTACCCTAGGCCGTCCAGAACCGGGCCTTCTATTGTAAGAACCAGTTTCCCCAAAACGCCTCACGCCGTCTCGTAAAGTTTCATATGGAACTCCGATGGCATTAGCTGCATATCTAATGGAACGTCTATCATCAATAAGTGCCACACCACGCGCAACATCCTCAGCACTAAGAGGCATTTTTAAACGATATTGAAAAAATTAAAAGCCAGAG